TTAGAGTAGGATTGTTTTGAACAAATTAATTGAACAAAACAATCCTACTCTAAACCAACACCCCTGGGTGCCTAGATACCTCTTCTAAGTTTCACAACAGTTCCGGTCGTGTGACTTTTGTTCAATACAGTGTCAGTGTAAATTACTTGTACCTGGTGATGACAAAACCTTGTCGTAACGTTGTACATTTGCTGTTATGTTAAACTTATATTAAAGTTTTTCTTCATTACCCATTCAAGCCGTCTCCAGCCATTATTAGTCTCAAAGTGGGTTCCTCGTCATCGAATGTGGAGCCCAATATTTTTTGGTCACCAATTTTACACCCAAAATGTTAGTAGTAGGCTACCTTTACCTTGTGTGTGATATTTTTCTTCCATGAAACTATAACAGGTTTTACAAAAGTGTAGCAGAAACTGTTTGGGTGATTTTTGCACTTTCCGACATTACTTCAACTGGAGGCAGCCAGAATTTCAAATGATTTTCTAAAAAATATAAAAGAATTTATGTTTACAGAACTAGAGTTTAGAATATTACAAAAAAAAAAAAAATTGTATGAATTTGATTATATCATGGGTATGATGTAAGGAAGAAGATCCGACCGTTTTGACTGTGTGCGAAGCAAGGCAAACTGACCAACTGAAAGGCAAGAGAGACATCTGACTCCACCCGTTTTATGGTCATTTGAGGGATTTCTTGATTGTTCTAGCAAACTGAGCACATGATGACTTCAAAGTTACCGATCAGAGCATGCAAGTGTAGGAATGAAGCAAAAGTGGTGCAATTTGCTATAATTATATAGAGAACAAAATAGTATATATGAACAATACATTTGGAATTTTACACCAATACAATACAGTCAACATTTGAAGTCATCAGAAAACATGTCTTACCCATTAAACTGACCAAATAAACTTAATTTCACAGCAGAAATACATTCTGCTGAGTTGATTGCATGGTATTTCACATAGTACTGACAAAATATTGAGATATTACAATAACTCAAAATCTATGGACAAATTCTGACTACATTTTTTAAAATCAGCACCATCAAATTACCCCAAATCACTTGAGTTTTCTCCAGTAGTAAATTTTTTGTTATCTATTAATAATTTTATTTAGTACTACCCAACACTCAAAAAGATAAAGTTTAATGAATCAGACTTACCATCAGCATCATCAAACACAATTAATGGACTTTTTCCTCCCATCTCCAGGGTTAAACGTTTAGTGTTGCTTCTCCCCGCAGCTTGTTGGATAAGTTTTCCTACCTATGGTAATGAGTACAACATTTTTAATTTAAGTATATTATTAGAGAATTTTTGCTGATACAACTAACAAAAAATTTTTTTAAAGTAATGATATGATTCTTTTAGTTATGTTCAATCTATACAAGTATGCAGTAGATTTCTATAGACTTCAATAAACACACAGAGAGACTGATAAAATATGATTACTTCCCTTTGAGAGTACTCTTAGGAGATTTAAAATAAATGTTTTCCACGTTATTGAAAAATGTGTTATCATTGTCATTTAATAATTAAATATCAATCTTAAATTCATTTTTCTAGTTAGTTCTTTCATAATCCCACTTTACTTTTATAGCAAGTCTTAAAGAAATGCATGGTTGCTGGAACAAACTTTATCTATCAAGGCAAAGATGATTTTATGAAATGTCAAGAAAACAAATGGTAACAAACGAATTTTAATGTTTGCAATGTTGTCTAATACTGCTAATAAAAATGATCAAATTTGGTTAAACAATGATTATTTACAAGAACTTCATTCAAATCACTTTTACCCATGTACTTTCAAATTAATAATAAACAATAGTATGTAAAAAAAGAAACATTTAACATGTTACCTCAGTAGAACCAGTGAAAGCGACTTTGTCTACATCAGGGTGTTCTGCTATAGCAGCCCCAGCAGTAGGGCCATACCCTGGAATGATGTTAACCACACCTGGAGGAAATCCAGCTTCCTTGAGAAGACTGGCACAATATAGGGCTGTAAGTGGAGTCTGCTCAGCTGGCTTAAGGATGACAGTGTTACCAGTTGCCAGAGCAGGGCCCAACTTCCATGATAACATGACCACTGGATAATTCCACTATCAGAATAGAATATTAAAATCAAACATTTTTCTCCACTAAAGTTTAAACCAGAAAAATTTTAACTTTAAAAGAAAAAAAATATATACATTTAATTTAGTTTATTTATGTTTAGTTGAAAAACAATACTTGAATGTTTTTGTCTTTAAAAATTATATCCTGAAGAGTGACCTTTGAAATCACAAAACCAGTCAGTAAAGTTATTAAAGGAGAAAACAAAAACAGAAGATAAAAATATACATTTTTTATATGCATTTTCAAATTAGATTCCTATTATTAAGTACCATACTTATACAACCACAATATAATAAAACTACACTGCAATATTACATGATCATTAATGTTGTCCTCTATATACAAGTTAATATTCTCAGGCATAAACGGTTATTTTATGACATGTACATTTGTAAAATTTTAACACTTAAAATTAATTATCAAACAATTTCCTGTCTCATGAGTACTGTACATGTATATATAACAATTTTTTGATAATGGAGAATTTCATATCTGATTTTACTGGCATGAATTATTTGAAGATTTGATCACTTTCACCACAAGACAACCGATATTATTACAAACAATGAAAAGGAGTACAGTCAGTCAGAATTACCGATTCCATAATCCTGAATGTAATTTGTCATTATATATATTTTTACAGATTTATAAAAAAAACACTAATAATTTTTAAAATATAATCATGTCTTACTGGTAAACATCCACTATCTGGCAAGTAGGATCCTGTGTCAATGACTCACCAATTGTGTTCATATGTCCATTTTATTTAGAATGAAGGATTAAAACAACACTTACTGGAATAATCTGACCACAAACACCTATAGGTTCCATTCTTGTAAAAGAAAAGAAGTCTCCATCTAGAATTAATAATAAAATTAAACATGTTACAATTCACTTGTATAAAAATTTATACTTATTAAACTATAAATTATAATTCTTACATAATTTGTCATCATTAACAAGTCTATCAAGACAAATGTTAATTTTAACAGTCAAGCTAAAAAAAAAGGTTTGCAGAGAACTACTAATGTTTCTGGGGTATTAACACACCTGAACCAGCCAGAAGCACCAGTCTACTTTTAATATGCAGTGTGAAACAATATTAGATGATATATGAAAAAAAGTTATGCATCTGACTATGTTTTACCCATTTGTTTGATGTAGGCTAAGGTTACTTCATTTGTTTATTTTAATGTCTTCTGCACTTGATTTTACCAGAAGAACACAGAATTGTAGTTTGAATGTTGTGGCATTTTAATATTAACCCTACTATTGTTGGCTTGTTATTTTTGTGGTATCTCCACTTTATATGGTTGTTTTTTTTTTTAACAACTTTTTTTTCACATTGACAATGATTTTGTTATAGATTACAAATGCCAGAACTAATGAATGTTGCTTATTAAGTGTTCTTCAAGCCATTTTCTTTCTGATGAAAACATACCAACATTTTATTACAAAATTACAAAACAATATATCAATGATTGTTTTTATAATTTCTTTATCTTTTATATGACAATTACTTTAAATAAATGTATAAGGATAACAGAAATATTTACAGGAATCTTTAAAAAAAAAAAATGTATACAACTGTACATAGAATTTAAGGATCTCTAATATTACAAATACATATATTTCAGTACATTAAAAAAATATTGTGCTAATAATGCAATTTTTTTAAACTTAACTATATTCCACTTATCCATAAAGTAAAATGTACTACAGTGTATATATACTAAAACAAAATAATTGTCATCAATGATAATGACCACAGAAAATTTTAACCACAGTCTAATGACTCGTAGGTTATTTTTGGTAAACTTGTGGGGAGTAAAGTGTAAACATCTACAATATGGAATTTAAAAGTAGAATTACATTAAAATATACCTATTGGAATAGTTTTTCCATGAATTTTGTCACACCACCCAGCATAGTACCTAATAGTCGAGATTGCCCCTTCCATATCAAGCACAGATTCATTGTAAGGTTTTCCATTATTTAGAGTTTCCAAGCTCTAGATATTGAAGAATACAATAAAAAAATAAATAATTCTTGAGTCATTTAAACACATCAATACTTAAAAAATAATATAATTATAACAAATATCTTTTATTCTTAACATAAAAGTCATAAAATCTTATTGCATTTATGAAAACAAAATTTCTACAAAACATTGTTTAATCCATTGAAAAAGTTTAATTAGTTTTATATTAAAATAAGCTTGTACTCACACATAGATATTCTATATCTCTCTGTACTAAGTCTGCAAATTTATTTATTAGCTGCCCCCTAGTTGATGCATCCATTGTTCTCCATGGTGAACCTAATTTAAAGGCTTCCCTTGCAGCTTTTACAGCTTTGTCTACATCTTCCTAAAAATGATGAATGACAAAAGTTAACATTTTAACAGTGTTACTCACAGAAGTGTACAAAGTAAATTTCTTGCTCATCAAAAGGAAAAAGTATTTTTTTTGTGACAAATACAGGTTTTAAAATACACATGAAGGCTTTGAAAATTCCATTAATTGTGTTAAAATAGTGTGATTTAACACTGAAATGTATACAACATTAACCATGTTGTAGCACAAAAGTACTTTTACCTTATTCAATAGCTCAGCTTAGATACGCTCATGTACACAGAAGTTTATTTTATTTATTATTGAAAAACTAATAAAAATACACAACAGTGAAAAATAATTGTAGAGTGCTAATCTAGAGCTAGTACCTACATATAAACAAGTCTCCCTCACACTGTGTATTAGCAAAGTAGCTCAGTTGAAAAATGTGTAGATATACTTTGTTCAAAAAAAGATACTAATTCACCCAATCAATAAACACATGTAATAAAATTACTAGCTTTAATTAATACTTTTTTTATTCTTTTTTTAACACTCATTTAGCAAATTTTCTGTCTTGTATTAATTACAAAATGCATTTAATGTACAATGTCTTTAATAAATAATCATTTAGGATCCAATCTCCATACATGCAGTTATTACAATAATTAATAATAAATTAATAATCACTAATAACTGAAAAAGCTAGTGTTTGAGTGGCAAATATAGAAAATAAACCCTTATCTATTATGAAAACTAGCAAGACAGCCAATAGTATTACTTTACCCTTTTTATTCACTGATATAGTTAACATGTCAATAAATTTGTAAACTTTGAGTGAGACAGATTTACAAGACTTTCTTTCAAACCTTGTCACCTTCTTGGACAACACAAAGCTTTTGGCCAGTTGCTGGGTTATAGGTTTGGAATGTTTTCCCACTAACTGAGTCACACCATTCATTATTGATGAAAATCTAGAATATAAAATAATTATGTCGTGACAAACACATACACAAGTCATAAAACATGTTGGAAAGAGCAATACATACATGTTTCTGTATATTTCCAGTTTTTTTCCTATATTATTTCTGAACAAATAAATAAATTTCACTGTAAGTGTATATAGTTACAATCAATACAAAAACCCTAACAGACAAAAGTTGAGTTGAGTACTAAGTGATAATCCAAGGGTTTAAGCCGACAACAACTGACCCTTAATGTGGAGAATGGCTGCTTTGAAGGTAGACGAGTTTCTTTACTGATATTAGCACTAGGATACTGGCTATATTCTATCCTATTGATTTCCAGTCTTATCTTTTCTTAGCAACGTCATACAGTACATTATTTTCCAGCAGTCTCGTTGGTCTGAAAATCAATAAAGACCATTCAACAATTATCATGCTGGAATGGTCACTGATACAGTAAGAAATGTTGAAATGACCGAGACTTGTGACAATGTTAGGATTGAATCCATGTGCAATGTCCAAAAGTGAGTACAAAGTTACAATGACATCTGAAGTTGCTTTAGCAATGAACTTAAAAGATGAGAAAGAAAAAAATATTACTATTATCAGGAAAGTCATATTTACTAATTTAGATAGCTGAATACTTGTCTCTAATCTGAACTACATTAAACAATAAGAAGCACACTTTCCTTTATTCGCTCAGTTAACTATTATAATATAAACAGAAGACGTTTATCGACTCCAAGTCTAACTGAACAGTGTAACTTAACATTAATTTCATTATTCGGAAACTGATGTTTGAAAGAAAGTCCCTCCTTAAGGCCTCATTGTGCGCCTAAAACAAAAAAAAAGTTTTATCATAAGAAATACATGAACTTATGACTGAAATTCAATGGTTAAAAATTACTCGTACCTTGGTGTACTTAATTTCAGGATTTCTATTTCTACTATCAGGCCCCATTATTCACTGATTTTCACGTGAAATTGAAGTCAAATTTGCACTGTCAGTGTCAAACTGTGATTGCAGTATCCAAATTACACCGAACTGACTACTTGTACTATTACTTTCTTCCGTCCCAATCCTTTTTACAAATTGTCAATTTCAAATCTTTAAACAGCTTAAACGTTTTAAAGTATCGCGTATCAACGTTGGATGAAGGTCCTTTACCCACGTAATACGCGTTGGCAATTTTATATACTATTAGCGTACATGTAATTGCAAGAAACTTCTGCAGCTGTTACTGTGTCAAGGGCAATTTTATATATCATGGTTCCCAGGGGAAAAAAATGGGTCAGGCAGAACTTTTCCTCCACCCCTCCTTGACTGGGATTATCATAATACATAACCTTTGAATGCCCTTGCGTGCCAATGTAAAAGTTGCTTAACTTTTAAAATAAATTTTCCAGCTTTAGCTAGCACGATCAAGAGGCAAATGAATTTAATTCCAAACTCTCAAATAGCGACTTTAAAAAAACAAGTTGTTTATGTAATTTAACCAGGACCTTGAACAAATGTCTCGGTTGCCCTCCCTTAAATCTGACCCTGGTTTTTAATGTGTTCGGAAATTAAATAATGTCCCATCGTTCTGCTCGTGATTCTGTTTGTTTATTATTTTGTTTGTTTTAGCCCAAAGCCACATTGGGCTAATCGCTGTATCCACAGTAGGGAATCTAACCATGAATTTTAGCGTTGTAAGTCCTTAAACTTACCGCTGGCCCACCCCGGCTCGTGATATAAGAGGTATGGAGAGAGCGCAACGCAAAAAAAGCTATAGAGCCAATGCTAAAGAATTTGCTGTGAGGCGAAAACGAGAATATCTGGAGAAAACTCCACTTCTCCTTGGCCCACTAACTCAAGGGTAGATTTTAGTCAAGTCTTTTAACGTGCGCCCTTGGATTTTAGTGAGACCAGTCCCCCATTCCCTCCAAGACTCCAGAAGTCTTAGCTCATTTGCCATCACCAGGGGCGTCGAGAGCCAGCCCAGGCCCTGGATCAATGATATCATCGGGCTCCCCTTTCATTCTATTTATTAACTTTTGCTGATTTTTCATAAAAGAAATTTAGGTGACAATTTTTTTCATGAAATTATGAAAAAACATTAGCCATTTTAGCTCATCTAGTACTATGCATTTCTAGTGAGCTTTGGAATACCCCACTGCTGGACCTCTCAACAGACCCCGGGGCAGCTGCCCCTCTTGTCCTCCTCTCGTCAGCTCTGGCCATCACAGTAAAAAAGGCACTGTAAGGTCTGGTTTTAGTCTCTTGGTTGATTTAATAATAACTGAATATTTCTCATGCAAGTATTGGATGAAGAATTATTGAACAGTTTCTGGATCTCCTGCCCCTCCCTTCCCCATTAGCACAGCGGTATGTCTGCATACAACGCTAGAAACGGGTTTCAAAACCCGTGGTGGGCAGAGCACAGATAGCCCATTGTGTAGCGTTGTACTTAACTTCAAACAAACAAACTGAATATCCTGGGCCTTCCACCCATAATTCTATTGTGAGTTAAATAACAAATATGAAAAGGAATTAAATAGTTATTGAAGAACATTTAATTAACTTTGTTGTTGGTGTTATCGGGTATCTTTATTTTAATAGATTAATTAATATTAAATTTAATACTTACTACTTACTTAGATCAAAAATAAAACCTATCCCCTTAGTAAGTATAGCTAATTAAAAATTATGTTACTATGTTATAACTTATAAATTCTAAGAACCCATGAGTCAAAGCAAAGGAGAATGTGTTATAATATATCAACCACACCAGATCTGCCACATCCAGTACTGAAGATGTCTTTCGTATAATACCAGGACTCACCAGGCCAGCTGAGATACGACAAACATAACAGTAGTCTATGTGATAAATATATCATCAATTTTCACGAACAACAACTTTTACAGTGTGAACAAGATTAAGCAGTGAATTGTAATTACTATTATTTACAACTCAGACTTTGGATGAATTACATAAACATTCAGAAAGAACTGGTGTGCCTTGGACGTGACAATCTTACGATGGGTCATTTAAAATGGAATCTGTGCTTCAGGGCTATTGTAAAGTTCATCAGATATAGCGTGACCAGATATGGCAAAGTTGAACAATACAAGGTGCCTAGTGCAGAGATCGGACTTCGAATTTTATCATTATAAGCTCTCAAACATACCACTACATAATTGATAGACAAATCAGACGGAGCCTAAAAACTGAAAAAAAGAACACTTCATAAAATTTTGGTTTTTAGTGCAATATCAGAAACAAGTTAACAACGAACGTAATAACCAGTATAACAGAATTTTCCACATTTATAAAAAATAATTAATAAAATATGATAGCAAAATATCAGAACACGGCATTTTGGATATTGATTCAAACACAAAAAATAGAAGACCTAACAAGAGTTATGTCAGCAAAACATAAATCTGCGCATATTAAGGATTATTTTTCCATTTCATGAAAATCAATCTGAGAGGATAACTATTTCCAGAAAATAAAAAATATCTAAAAAAATGCTAACTCATGGTTGGTGTACACTTTAAAACAAGATGCAGTTTATTGATTTTCTTGTAAATTGTTTGGAAACAAGAAAATGCAGCTGACTGATAAAGGCTTTTGTTCATAGTTATACATGGAAAAAAAGAATTCTATAATCTCCCAAAAAACAGTTTACACAAAGAATGCCTTATGAAATGGAAGGAATTAAAACTCTAGTTGATAACAACTTCTACAGTACAACTCAAACTTTACTCACAATTGAATAGCAGCTACAAGATCATTGCATTGGTTATGCATTTGACAAAAATAAATCAAGCATTTCATGGAAACGTTGATAGGTTAAATTACCTTAGAAACATAATTTGTTTTAGCCAAATGGAACTTATGATAAAATTTGACATCATAATGAATAAACATTACGTCAATTTTTGAGCCCTGAAGTCCAAAATGAGCTAATACAGTTGCTCTCAAAAGAAGTTATTAATGTAATTGTTATGAAAATTAAACTTACGAATTATTGTTCTATAATGGCGGACATAAGACATCAAGTGTAGCTTCTGGTAGTTTTGGAACGATGGATATCCGAGGAATGGAAGTAAATACTGAGAAGATCAGAGGTTCTTTTGTACCAGAGGTCATTCTTGACTAGCTTATGAAACATGGAACACTTTTTGAAGATTGTCTAGGAAAAGAACATCATAATGGCATATGAGACCAACACAAGAGTGTGCAGTCTAGGTTGTTGTACAAAGGGTTCAGTACGTTATAATAAAACTATTTGGAAAATTCAGCTCAGCACCTACAGCCGATATAGTGTCGAGTTGGAACTAAGTGTATCAGAACTATATTTTGACATTGTTTGGCGTCATGTAAGTAGTGTGATGCCACCGAAAACTAACCACTTTTAGAATGGGTACGAAACAGCCTTTTCCGATAAAAAATATTCAGATCATAGATTAATTTTCTTGGTAGCTAAATGAAAAGACGCCGTTTCCTTAACGCTATTTGAATGATATCATACAGTTAATTGCAACAACAGCAAAACTTATATCATTTATATTTGATATATAATTTTTCTCTTTTATTTTTTTTGCAGTGGCCCTTCCCACTTTTCAATTTTCCCCAGTAAAAATACATCAAAATTAGGAAAACTACTCTTAGAAAAAGCAGGAGAATGCATAAAATTTAAATCAGAACCCAAGAGCTTACAGGACCCTAAGGGAAGCGCTAAACCCCGACATTCCCCCGCTTCCCTCGGTCAAATATACCTTAGTCTCCACTTTTAATTTGCCTCCTACTTCTCTGTTTTGTTTAGTCAAAGCTGGAATTTTTTATTTGTATTTTCTCTTCATTATTTTGTGGTTCTCATAGATATCACCCATTTACAGTTATTAGAGTTCCTTTTTATGTTTCATATATATATATATATATATAGATAGATAGATATAAAGTAGAATTACCCGTCTATCTGGTGCCTTGGCGTATTAGTTCTTGCGAGAAACTTTCTGAACCAACTGCGGTGACATTACAGAGAAACTGAATTGGGCTCTCCAAATATCGAATTTAAATTTATAGGCAGGCAGATGAATGGTTCGAGTTTGTCAGCCATTTCGACATTAAATTTTAATGCTGAAAGTCATGTAGGGATGATCTATGTATAGCTGTATCATCGCTATATTCTTGTTTGTATTTTTTTGGCACTGCTATCCCTACATCATTTTACATTTACAAAATGTTTCTTATTATTTGTTTTGTTACTTTTATTCCCTTGACTGAAAGTTAGTGTAGTATATGAGTGTTTTAATAAAATTCAATATTATGTGTATTGATTTTTTTTACTCCTTCTCTTCATACATAATATAGGAGTTAGCTCCCTAAACACACCAACTGTATAGTGTACAAAACATTGAGTATTCTACATGCTACAGTCATCTAATGTTCATGTATTATTGGCTGGTAATTCTTGTTTCACTCTGTACTTTTAGGACGCTCGATTCGCAATCTGCGGTCGCGGGTTCGAATCCTCGTCACACCAAACATGCTCGCCCTTTCAGCCATGGGGCGTTATAATGTGAATCAATCCCACTATTCGTTGGTAAAAAAGTAGTCCAAGAGTTGGCGGTGGGCGGTGATGACTAACTGGCTTCCCTCTAGTCTTACACTGCTAAATTAGGGACGGCTAGCGCAAATAGCCCTCGTGTAGCTTTGCACAAAATTCAAAAACAAACCAAACTGTACTTAAACTTTTTAAAGGAACACCAATTTCTGTAAGAAAGCCAACTTCAAAATACTACTAGATATTACGACTAAGTGATGATATTGTGCACTACCCAGAAACACATAGTGTTTGTTTGTAATTAAGCACAAAGCTACACAATGGGCTATCTGTGCTCTGCCCACCACGGGTATCGAAACCCGGATTCTAGCGTTGTAAGTCCGCAGACATACGCTGTGCCACTGGGGGGCAACACATAGTGTAGATTTAGGTTTAAACTGACGTTAGTGATAAAGTAATTGCAGAGTTATTTCGAATGAAACAACAAGAAGAAAGATGAACAATTTGGTGGTTTGGTCACTTTCTGGTTTGGTATCTTAGCGATGGTTTCTTGCCTTTTTGTAGGGTTTTTTGGGAAGAGAAACAAATGAAAGTGAGTGGCAATCATCTTTTAAAGTAAAACTCTCTGTCATTGTTGATATTTTAGTGTGCATATTTGTATTATGTCTATTGAGTACGTTGGCCATCCCTACGTAT